GAGTCACCTAAACCCAGCTGAGCCCTGGAACCCAAACTGTCCTCCTCTGCCCAGTACATCTGGGACCTAGCTTGAGCAGAGAGAGGGCTAGAGAACATCAGAGGCCCCAGCGTGGGAAGGGAGGGTTGGTAGGAAGGGAGGGATGACTCCATCTAAGCTGGCTTCTAGGTTCCACCCCAAGACTGGTGTATCCCTGCCATTTGAGCTTCTCCCCCTTCCAAACTTCATCCCTGATCCCAACCTCACTACTCCCCTCAGGCCTCATCTCCATCCCACCACCCCGTCCTTGCCCCAAGAGTCTTAAACCACTCCCCAGTATCTGCAAGTAACTCCCAGAGCCTCCATCACTACCTTCCAGACCTCATCCCTGGCAGCCCTTCACTTAGTGCCCCCAGCACTGCCCTCAGAGAACCTATTCCTACCCCTAGTCTCCCAAACCCCATTCCCAGCCCATCATTCTTCCTCCCAAAGTCCTCTACATTGAGAAGACAGGTAAGACTTGATCTTGGTTAACATTTCATTGTCATTGCGGACTGACTTACATAGCTATTCCTTTTTAAAAGGATCTAGTCATTCAGAAGGTTGAGGAAATACTCAAATTTATCCTAGCGGGTAATCAGCCTATGTCTCCAGCCTCTTTCCCTCTGCCCTTAGCTGCCTCCCCACTCAGAATAGGGTCCTAAGTGACAGAACCTGTGCTTTTGAGTAAAAATCCCTGGAATCTCCAGGCCCACCAGAGAATTATTTAAGCCTATCTACCCCTCACACACATACACATAGACAGAGGTACATACATTTGTGCACATGATCCTGTAGACATACACATAAAGAAAAAAGTTGCCAGCACGTCCATGTTGACTTATGGCAATCCAATGTGTTACAGAGTAGAACTGCTCCATAGAGTTTTCTTGGTTGTAATCTTTATGGAAACAGATTGCCAGGTCTTTCTTCACAGCACTGCTGGACGGTTTTGAACCACCAACCTTTAGGCTAGTAGTCAAGCGCAAACCATTTGAGCCACCCAGGGACCTACACACATATAACTACTATGTACATGATTCATAGTGACCCTATAGGACAGAGTAGAGCTTCCCCGTAGAGTTTCCATGGAGCAGCTGGTGGATTAGAACTGCTGACCTTTTGATTAGCAGCCATAGCTCTTAAACAACTGTGCCATCAGGGCTCCATTATAGATATTACATATAGATATCACATAGTATCACATATAGACATCACATATACGTTGTTAGATGCCTCGAGTCGATTCCGACCCATAGCGACCCCATATGACAGAGTAGAACTGTCGTATAGAGTTTTCTTGGCTATAATCTTTATGGAAACAGATCACTTTCTCCCTCAGAACTGGTGGGTGGATTCGAACTGCCAACCTTTGGCTAGCAGCAGCCCAGGGCTTAACCGTTTACACCACCAGGGCTCTTTATCACGTATATACCCTTTGCTGTAGAGTCGATTCTGACTCATAACGACCCTATAGGACTGAGTAGAACTGCCCCATTAGGGTTTCCAAAGAGCAGCTGTGGATTAGAACTGCCGATCTTTTGGTTAGCAGTTGAGCTCTTAACCACTGCGCCACCAGGGCTCCATCACATATATACTACACATAAATTCACTTGTACACATATGCTAAACAATACAAATTAATGCATCTTTTTATTCAGATTTTTCCAGAGTAAAGTTTAACTGTCTCAAGTTAACAGATTTCAAGGCCCCTGACCCAGGTCTTACGTCCACAACCAGAAATATCCACCAGATGGCACTCTTTCGCCACTTCCCGTACTCCCAAGTGCTGCCAGAGGTGTCGCCAGAGATGTCGCCTCTTTTGGCCTCTGCACAAAACCTGCAGAGCCGGGTGCACCCCAAGCGGCCTCTAGGCGAGCTCAGTGGGCATGTTCTCGGTCCCCAAAACTTGCATGCTCAGCCCTGTCTGAGGCTGGGTTCGTTCTTGCGGCCCTGACGGCTTCGGCCCTCCAGGCCTCAAGCCCCCCACCCAGAGGGCGGTCTATCCCTCGGGGCTCCAGTTCTGCTCCACGTTCAAATCGACCCTCTCTCACCAACGAGCCAGGGGTTGGGCTCAGGCCGGTCTGCCTCCGTTTAGGCCAGCGCGGCTCAAGGGCCCTTCTTCGGAGCCTTAGTAGTAACATACAGCCAGACGCTCCTGGCCCTAACCCATCCCTCACAACGGCCCCAGGAAGGAGTCGGGTCATTTGCACACACGTGGCACCCTCACACCTGTACACACACCCTTCCATCTGAAGCCCAGGCAGGGTCAGTCAGAAGCAGGGAGGAAAATGGCCAGGACCCGGGACCTATGAGCCTCGGCTTGGCAGAGATCTGGTCTCGGTTAACCCTTCCGGCCCAGGTCGTCTTTAATCTGGATCGCCAGTTCAGAGCCGAAGGAAGAGTATTTGCTGCATCTTAAGCAAATGACTTAAAATTCCAGAGGTGGAGGAAGTAGGGTGGGTAGAGCCTCTCCCACACCCAGGCCTGGGCCACTCTGGGCCGGCTCCTCTGGAACCTCACATCTCGAGTGTGAGCAGCCTAGGACGACAAACGCGGGGAAGGCTTGAAACCCCGCGGGAGGCGACGCCGGAGCTCGGGTAGCGGCTCAGAATCCCCCTCCCCCTCTTCCCCCGGGAGCGGCGGGAAATTATTTATTAAAACGCCGTCCGCGCTCTCATTTATTTGCGGTGAATAATCCTCGGCATCTCAGCGCGTTTATTAAACCTTTCCCGTCCCCGCGCCCGCATTACTTTAATAATAAATCGCGTGTCACTTTCCAGCGATGTTATTAAAGCGGGTCAGCTGAGCAGAGGCGGGGAAGGGGGGCAGGAGGAGGTCCTCTCATTCGCGGCTGTGGGGCCTAAACTAGCAGGCCGCGCAGGGAGAAACAGGCAGCAAGGAGACGAGGAGTCTGCACTGGAACATCCTATAGAGTGTGGAAGTGCAATCAAGGAGTTGGATTCCCCGGGTGCGAGTGCCCTTCTCGGGACTCGGGGCGGGGGTGGGGGGGAACTTGCACGTGAAGCCCCGTCTCTGTAGGTGGGCGTGGACGGATCGCTGGGCCCGCCAGGGGGCGCCCGCGAGCCCAGCCAGGCAGGCGCCCAGGGCGACGAACCGGCCAGAAGCCGAGTCTCTGCAGACACCGGGACCCAGACCCAAGTCTCCCGTTTCACGCGGAGCAGACCTTCTGGTCGCGAAGCCAAACAGCACGCGCAGCCCCCTCCCCCCGCCCCGTCGCACCCCTGCTCCTGCTTCCAAAGTTGCTTTGAAATTCTCTCAAGTATCCCAAACCGCGCGCGCTGTCGCGCGCGGCTCCTGGGGAAGCTGGACTGGTGCCAGTGCTCTGCAGTGAGAACTGTCCTCTAGCAAGGCGACAGCAGCTGGAGGAGCCGTGCGGGTCTCCCAGAGGGGTGGCCAAGCCCCAGCGTAGGGGTCTCCGAACCACGCCCCTCCCAGGAGGCCCAGCTCCCTGCGGAGGGCCCCAGACGACAAGCTCAGACGCCGAGCCACAGCGATCCCTCTTGTGGTGGCGCCAGGCTCCGGGTGGAGCCCAGGCGCGTAGGAGGCTGTCGCCATCCACACACAGGGGCTTGGCCTCCTTGACTTACTCTTTCATGCACTTCTTCAATCATTCAATAAACATTTTCCCAACACTGCGCCTCATCAGTGTCCCTGGGCTAGGTAAGGAGAGTGTGGGGAGGGATTTGGGGAACCATATATTGCGGTTCTGTGAGGGACCACTACACCCCCCGCCCCAGCCAAATAGGACAGGTCCCAGTCTAGGCAGATGAGGAAACAGGCTTTGTCTGGGTTTAGCTGGGGAATGGGTGGATTCCCTGATGCGAGCTGGAGAAGGGTACAGCCCATAAAAGTGGCCAAATTTCTCTCCTCCTCCATCCAGTTTTTTTTTTTTTTTTTCTTATATTGGGGCACTACCCACATAGTCGTGGTTCTCCAGTCGGCCTGGGGAGGGACCAGCTAAGATGAACAGAGGGGCAGGCCTTCTATCTCTACACAAGCCCCAGTGGAGAGCAGACTGGGAGGACACTCCCCTCCAGCCAGATGGCTCCAGCTTTCCTCCCTAGAGGGCAAGGTAGACCTGAGCTCAAGCCTTCTCTCTGTACATCTGGCCGGCATTTGTTTAGACAGCAAGATCTGTAGCTTCTGGAAGCCAGACTACTTGTGTAGTAGGCATCCCAAGGAAATGTGGGCTTCATGTGCACATCTGTATAAACTGTTTGGGCATCTTGGTGTCTCGGTGTATTCATAAATCTTTATTTGGTCCCTACCGTATGCCTAGTCTTGTGCTAGGCATTGTCGAATACAAAGTGGTATAAGACAGAACGCCGGCCTCATGGAGTTTCCAGAAGGATACGAAAAACCAGATATGCCCAAATACTTAGCATGCTCCACTGTGCTCTCCTGTGCAGCAGACACTGAACACAATGAGGACTATAGTTAGTAAGTGCAACTGGGACTTACGAGAGAGGGAAGACTTCTGGAAGGTGAGTTTTGAGCAAGGGTAAACTGAGGCTAGGCCAAAGTTGGGGATCAGGAAAATAGCAGCAGGAACAAAGGTCTGTGGGAGAGGGCAGCTGGCCTGGGCTGGAGGGAGGGCTACCCGAATGAAGTGGAAGATCCTGGTGTCTACACCTCTTTGTGTCTGCTCCAGCCTCCAACCTGCACCCACCCCAACCTGGGACCAGAAGGCAGCTAGTGCCCTCCGCCTGGCTGGCTCATGCTGGAGACTGTCCTGAGCAGGGTATCTCCTGCATGGGCCCCTCTTGAGTCCCACCGCTCTCGGTCTCTGCCTCTCTCCCTCCCCGCACTAACACCACCATGATCTCCGATCTCCGCTATTAAGGGCATTGAAGACATCCTGGAAGGGACCCTGCTCCCCCTGCACTTCCCAGGTCTTTTCAAGAGCAGGGATGAACACTATCCCCACTCACCCACCCCGACAGCCCAGGGCCCTGCACCTAGTAGTAGTCCTCGCCCTCTTCACTCTCAGCCTCCTCCTCAGGAAGCAGGTTCAGGGACTGCAGCTGGGGGATGCCTGTGGAGTTCAGCTGGTCTGCATACACACGGGGCAAAGGAGAGAGGGTAGGAGAGAAGGGCTGTTGATGCCCACATTTCCCAGTGGGAAAGCCCTGCTTGTATGTGCACACACACACTCACCCACAGACTCAGTTTCTTACACACACATTCAAAAGCCCTAATTCACCACCATCCACCCAGCCTCCAGAGTTCAGGGCTCCCCCTTACCTGGTGTGAGCACTGTCAGGCTAGCCAGGGCCTCCACCTGGCCCAGGGCATTTCGGGCAAGGCAGCGGTAGGTGCCCTCATCACTAGGACGCACAGCCTGGATCTGCAGCCAGCCTGTCACCTCAAACCTCTGGGGTCCACCCCTAAACTGGAGCCAGAGATGGAGTCAGCAGGGTCCTTCAAGGGAGGTTCTGGGCTGCCCAAGGCAAGTCTCTGCTCCCTGCCCCTACCTGCACAGAGATGTGGGGGTCATCCCCTGGCAGCTGGATGTCCAAGCCATCCTTCCTCCACTCAATGGAGGCCATAGGGTAGGCAAACACTTCACAGCCAAAGATCACGTCCTGCCCTGTCACATTCCAAGTGTCGTGCGGGTGCGACATAATCTGGGGCTCTGGGGGTAGAAGTGGGAGGCCTGAGAATAGGATAGCACATCCAGCCCAGCAAAGACCCAATATACAAACCATTGGAGACACGTTTGTGGGGAAATATATGTCAAGGTATATGCATATCCATAAACAAGACACGACATGTACATAGGCACGCACAAATGACAATGCAGGTACACACAAGGGCACGAAAGGAGATAGGGAGATGTGTATGCACACACACACACACAGAGCCACGCAGAGACAATGTACAACCAAGCACACAGACCCACATCTCAGCTTAGCAGCGACACTGTCCTTGATTGTTCCCTTGTCCTCATTCCACCCTTTGGGCCCCCATCCTGCCCCGCTGGTAACCAACACCTCCCTGGCTTCCCTCTCCCCCTTTTCCAACGAGGCCCAGTTCCCAAAGCCCTGAAGAGCAGCCCCTCCCCCACTCCACTCCCTGGGGGTTCCACCTGGCAAAGGCAGAATCTGAAACTTGGCCTAGGCAGCGGGCAGAAAGCCTGGAGGAGGGGAGAGGAGGGAAAAGTGTTGGGACCCCCGCTGGATGTTTGTTTTCCTGGCAGTCCCAGCTATGCCAGAACCCAAGCACTGGCTCAGGAAGTGAAAGTTACTAAAGTCTCCAAAGAAAACCTGAGGCCCGAATGGCCCTCAGCCCCCTGAAGCGGGGGTGGGGTGGGGGGGTGCTAAAAGAACAACTCCTCTTCACTAACCCCTAAGTGCAGGAGAAAGGGGGAGACTGGACACTGGGGCTGCTCTCCAAATTTGCCCAAACGTGGTTACATCTCATAGGAGCCCAAATCTCGCTGCCTGGGCTCCAGCTGGTCTGGGGAAAGTCAGGGCGGGGTGAGGGGAGGGGCTGTGGTTTTCTTCCCACACTTGATTTTGAGGTCAACCACTGGCTCTGGGCATGCTCCCTCAGAGGGCCAATCCCCCAGAGACGGGTCTGGAGCTTTCAAGCAGCTCAGCGCACGCAGCTTGCTGTCAAAGCTCAGGGCCCGCACCTTCAGGTGGCGGCCTCTGCGGACCAGCAGCAGGGGCAGGTTCTGACACCGGGCTCTAGGCCTCCCGGGCTTCATCTCTTTCGCTCAGCTGGCCAGAAGAGACCAATGCCGTTGGGAGCTGGGGAGTACTGCCTCCAGGAAGCTCAAGTGCTGGGGGTAGGGGCCCCGCACCGTGCGTACCCGACTCGCAGGGCCCCGGGTGAGCCACGGTGAGGTTGGCGTCGGGCCGAGCACGGGCCGCCTCCTGCAAACGGCAAATCTGCGCGTAGGTGCGGCCGTCAGAGCCGCAGAGGGGACGCTGCGAGCGGCAGGCACACAGCGGCTCTGGCACCTCGCCGCGACTCAGGTCGCCACCTGTGTCCAAACGGCACTCAAGCTGCTCGCCGCAGCGCCCATAGAAGTGAGCGCTGGGGTCCAGGTCGCAGAGCTGACCCTCGAGGTTGGCGCATTCCCAGCAGCAGCCGCATGCGTCGCGTACCCGGCCGGCCAGGCAGCCCCGTGGCGCGGCGCACTCTTCTGGCCGGCAGGGCGCGCAGCCCTCGCCCTCCGCCAGCAGCCGCAGCCAACCGCGCCGCAGATAATCCGGGCCTGGGGACGATCGCGCACTGCTCAGGAGCGACGTCCGCAACAGCAGCAGTAGCAGGGGCAGTGCTAAGGCAGCTGCGGGCGACCGCGGCATGGTTAGCTGGAAGCCCTGCAAGCACTCAGGGCATCAGCGCGTTCGTGGCACCCTGCTAGGAAGGGAAGCCTGGTCAGGAGGTCAGACCGATGCTTGCACCCAAAGGCCAACCTCACTGCTCCTTGTACCAAAGCTTGACCCTGGCATTGTCCTCTCTCCCTCTCTGTGTGTAGGCTCCTCCCCTGCTACCTTGGAATTGAAGTAGACCCTCAACATAGAGACTTAGCGATCTTCTCGGGGACATCCAGTTATGCCGGGTGGCAATTGAATGGTTTGTTCCTGGGTGGGGGGAGGGGAGGTGGGAGCTGGTGAGAGGAAAGGGTGATAAAGCTAAGGCGCGCGCACGCACACACACACACATACACACCACCGCCACCGCCACCACCACCACCACACACCATCTAACTCTGGTGCTCCCTGCCTCGATGGTGGATGGGAATAGGCGGCTCCAGAAGAAGTACGGAGTTGTTAGTGGGTGTAGAAGGCGGGAGCGGGGGGATGATGCCCCTTTCCTGGGGCTCAGGGCGCTCACCTAGTGTTCGGGACTAGGCCCTTCGGTGCAGCCACGACTCCTGTCCGAAAAAGGAGGCAACGGAAAGAAAGCAGAGGCACGCAGTAGGCTGGGCCTGCCAGCCACCTCGGCTCCGGCCTGAGGATCTCTGAGAGAGCCCACGGACTTGGACTCAGAGAACAGCTCCTCCGCCCCCTCTCCCCGCCCATCGACGTCGCACTCTAACCCCCCCTCCTTGTTCTGCCAATTTTATGCGGCCACAGGAGACCCTCCCGGGCCACTTCCCCCTACCCTGGCCCAAAGTCAGGAGAGCAGAGGAGCTGTAATCGTAACCGGACACCGAAACTGGATGAGAGGAAGGGCTGCGAGGACTAGAGACCGGGATGGAGGGCGGGTGGGGGGAGTGGCTGGGAAGCGAAGAGTTGACTGAGCGGCCAGGCCCTGTCGCATATGATTTTACAGTCCCTGGGGTCTGCTAGAGTAGCTGTATAATAGGGAGGCGGTAGGAGCTCTGGTGCCAAGTCTTTTTGCGTCGATGTCTGGGTGGTCCTGGAAGGCAGAACCAATCAACGGCCTCTCCCTGCAGCCCAGGACCGGCTTCCCGGGGGTGATTGCTGGCTTGCTCCAGTATCCCTTTCTCTCCCGGACTTCACTTCCGTACCAAGGCGCCGACCAGAGACTCAGGGCTTACATCTGCGTCCCCACATCTGGCCTCCTCTACCCTCCCCACATCCGGCAGGTGCTTCAACCCGAGGATGAGCCGGGTTATTAGAGGTCGGATCGGACTAGCGGCCGCAGGGGAAGGCGGGCCGGGAGCCTTCCCGGCGGGCGTCACTCCGGGCCAGGATTACAGGCTATGGCTTCTAGGCTGGCAGGGCCGGAGGCACTCTGTTCCTTCTGCCGCCACTAGAGCCACCGTGGCACTTTGGGCTAGGGGCTGGGAAGAAAGCGTTCCTGCAGGCTTGCCCATCATACCGGGGGTCGGCCAGGCCCCGCCCTGCCCCAAGCGGCCTACTGAAGCCGCGCTGCAGGCAAGTTTGTGCGGGGCGGAACCCAGTGTTTGCGGTTGGTGAGGGGTTATTTAGTCAGGCTCCGCCCAGAAGGCCCCGCCCCCAGCCGAGTGGTTTGGGCAGGAGCCGCCCCACCAACCCTGAAATTCGAGGCGTGGCCTGGGGCCACCCCGTGGGATCGGTTCCGCATGCGTACGAGAGCTCCGGAGAGTCCGGCTCCCGGATGCAACCTGCGAGTCTTCTCGGCAGAGCGCACCCGAACTCGACCAAGCCCTGTCCCTTAAGGGTTCCTCAGCCGCGCAGACTCCGCCCCCAGCCAGAGGGGTTCTGAACCCGGTGGGTGAGGCCAGGTACACTGTCACCTCGGCTTCTAAAAGTCAGTGGAGGGGCGGGAAGCGAATTTCACGCGAGGTCTCTTAAAGTCGCGAGAGTCAGAACAGGAAGTCAGAACAGAAAAAGCCCGCGGGTTTTAAACCAGAAAAGAATGGGCGGAGCCACGTACAGCTTATAACCCGTTGCAGTCGCGTTGATTCCAACGCATAGCGACCCTATAGGATGGAGTAGAATTGTCGCAAAGGGTTTCCAAGCAGAGGCTGGTGGATTCGAACTGCCGAGCTTTTGGTTAGCAGCCGAGCTCTTAACCACTGCGCTATAAACAAACAAAAAAAACCCAAACCTGTAGCCATCCAGTCAATTCCGACTCAGTGATTCCTTGTCTTTGAGGTCAATTGAAATGTCTACCTGGAGCAGAAGTGAACTGTAAGAAGCCCTGCAAAGGGGGTAACCAGTTGCTGTCCAGTTGATTCCGACTCGTGATGACCTTCTTGTGTCAGGGTAGAACTCCACAGGGTTTTCAATGGCTGTGACCTTTTCTGAAGTACATTGCCAGGACTTTCTTAATGAGGTGCCTCTGGGTGGGTTTGAACCACCAGCCTTTCAGAACGCTTAACTGTTTGCGCCACCCAGGTACTCGAGAAGGGCGTGGTGGTGTCGTTAGGTACCATCCAGTCAAATCATAACGACTTCATGTGACAGTAGAGCTGCCCCACAGGGTTTCCTAAGCTATAACCTTTACGGGAGCAGATCACCAGAGATTTCTCCCGCGGAGGCACTGTGTGAGTTCGAACTGCCAGCCTTTTGGTTAGCAGCCAAGCGCTTAACCATTGCGCCACCAGGGCTCCTTGAGAAGGGGTAATAAAAAAAAAAAAACAAAAACCGATTGCCATGGAATTGATTCTGACTCATAGTGACCCCGTGCCACCAGGACTAGGGGACTTGAAATTGTGGAGCTGGCTAATGGAGCTGCCAAAGGGGAGGCCCCTGGCTCTGACATTGGGGGCGGAGATCACTGCCCGGGAGACAGAGTTTTAGCCATTCGAAATGTCTCAATGAATTGCTACAGGTTTCTAAGGCTTGGAATGAACATTTAAACAAAAAACTCCGCGGACCTGGAAACTTTTTACTTATTCCAGCCAATTGTAGCCTGTTGTTTAATTTCAGTCTTTGCTAGGCTGTAAGCCCAGGTGCCTAACTCACCCCTGTACCCTGTGAACCTAGCCCCGCGCCTGGCACACAGATTCTTGGCAGATATTTGTGGATTAAATGTGAAAGACTTTTCCTGAGTGTGAAAGTCAAGTTTAACCCGGATTCTGAGCCTTTGATGGAGAAGGCTGGATAGACAGGGAGCGAGCGCCCTCTGGTGGGATTGCGGTTTGTTATGAGAACATGACCATGCATATACAAAACCCATTGCCCTCAGTTGATTCTGACTCAGCGACCCAGGACCAGATTATCCAATAGGTAAAGGGAGCAGAGTGCTTACCTTGCTTACCAGATCATCTGTAGTGAACAATTTCACATGGATTTCTCCACATCTTTGATGTGAAAATGTTCACTACAGATTAGTAAGTAAGCATAAATAATCCCGTGCTTATCTTGCTTACTGGGTCGTCTGCCCTGTCAGGGATTGCAGATTTGAAAAGAGGCTTTGATTCTGTAGGAAGGTGCTGTGGGGTTGGGGGAGAGAGAAATAGCAGCCATAGCTAGAAGCAGAATGTGGTTTAAAAAAAAGAAAGTGAAATTGTTCACTATAGATAATCTGGTAAGTAAGGTAAGTATCATGCTTACTTTTCCTGTTGGATAATCTGCCCCTGTAACGACCTTATAGGACAGAGTAGAACTGCACCATAGGGTTTCCAAGGCTGTAATCTTTACGGAAGCAAACTGCCACATCTTTCTCCGCAGAGTGGCTAGTGGGTTCAAACCACTGACCTTTCGGTTAGCAGCCAAGCGCTTAACCACTGTATCAGCAGGCCCCTTTCCATCATGTACATAAACCAAAAAAACCAAACCTGTTGCCATCAGGTTGATGCATAGCAACTCTGTGGGACAGGGTAGAGCTGCCACATAGGGTTTCCAAGGAGTGGCTGGTAGATTTGAACTGCCTGCCTTTTGGTTAGCAGCCGAGCTCTTAACCAGTGCGACACCAGGGCTCCACCATGCACCACCCACATAGCAGGCACTAAATACATTGACTATACCAGGGGATCTGCTTTTATTAAGTAGACATTTTTGTTCCAGGAAAATGCCACATACTGTAAAAATACTGTAAAAACGGAGTTATTTGCATAAGACGCAGTTTAAAAGTCTAGATAAGTCCTCAGATCCTCATCATCTGACATTTTTTATCCATTAAGTCTCAAAATACATTCGGTAGCACCTATGGGCATCATCATTAATAAAGAAAGAAATAGCAAAAGACTTTGCATATTCATACTTTGAAAATATTTGATCGGAGAATTATGGATTCATGCAGAACTGTTGTTGTGTGCTGTCGAGTAGAGTCTAACTCATAGTGACCTGTTAGATCAAAGGAAAAGGATTCTCTAGTCTCTAGATAATGTGAGTACTGCAAGGAGAGAGAAGGGCAGGTGGCAGCATCCTTTGCACCAACTTGAGGGAAAACAGTTTCAAATGAAGAGGGTGAAGTTACAACTTGTTGGAGAACAAATGGTCTGGCGTCTTTTGTTTCCTTTCCTATAGATGCTTGCACTGAAGAAGGAATGAGGTGTAAAATGTAGTTTGCTTTCCACTGTGTGTAGTGGCATAAAGTTCACAGGTTATCATACTTCAACAATGGCATGGTGGAGGGGTCTGACCTCTAACTTCACAAGGAGGAAGGAGAATCAAGATCAACAGCCCAAGGCTGATTGCTGTGAGGCGGTCAGACATACCTCCTCTCCAACCTCTTTACCAATTCTGACACCAACTGTCCCTCCCACAGCACTCTGCTTCTCTGCTGGGTTCGATAATTTGTTGCAGTGGCCACACAGAACTCACAGACCACACTCATGATTATGGGGTTTATTAGGGAAGTAACAGGTTACAATTCAGGTTCAGGATTGCTCAGGATACAGTTCTTCCATCAGGACAGCCTCTTTTCAGCCGTGCCCACAGGCACACCTCTCTCTGGCCCTTCAGCCTCTCGGCCCCTCAGCCTGGCCTCTGCCCTTCTCGGGTAAGTGTTACAAAGCTCTTTTAGCTCTGCCAATAACTGCCCAGAAACACCCCACTCCGCAAGTAGGCCTCGGCCCGAAGGCACTCAGCTCTGGCTCCATGGGTCAGCAAACCTAGCTCCACCAAGTTCCTGGAGGCACCCTACTCCACCAGCAAGCCTCCTGTCTGAAGACACTCAACTTTTTCGCTCCATGGGCCAGGAAGTCCACTGTGCCATTCTCCTGCCGGTCTGCTGGTTCTCTGCTGCTGCTTCTCTTCATCTTCAGTGTTACAGCTCCTCTTTCTCTCTCGGTATCTCCTTTTAAGCCTAAATATATGGTCTTTCTGTTAGAGCAGCACTAGATGACTAAGACACGGTGGTGTCAAACATCTTTCTCTTCATTTGGTCGAGTTCTGATCACCTCATTCCTAGCCATCCAAGCTAGGTCACAATGGGTACCAGTTGTAGGCTTGTGAGTTCACATGCACCTCCCTGCACCTCAGACCATCCAGCCCCTTTTCTCTCTCATCCCTAGCCCCCATGGGCTAGTTCAGTTGGTATCACCCATAAGCTCAGGCATCCACACAACTCCCTGGACATCTGACCAGCCAGCCCTTCCTCTCTCTCTTTCTCATCCTTATCCCCTGTGGGCTAGGTCAGCGGGTACTAATGGAACATGTCCGGACTCGGACTGTCTCTTCAATGCTGCACCTCCCCCACTTCCACTCATGAGTAGACCCAGGTGGTCACCACAGACGAGCGTACCAAGCCGTCTACTTGCT